GGTAAACAGATTCAATTGTTTCAACCATTCGCTGATGGTACTGACGTTCATGTACCTCCTGTAACCCACCCCTCCATAACACATTAATGACCCGCAGGACGAGGCCACACCAACCATCAAACGCAGCCCCTATCTAGGGACAGTTTGTAGATTTGCTGTCATCTATAAATGCCTTTTTTACATAAAAATTATTATGGAACCAATGGCTAAGGCTGAAAGTAGCAAAGGGCTATATTTGTATAATATTGTGTTGAATAATCTGTTTAAAACGTATGTGTTGTCATGACTTAAAAAAAATTGATACAGATAGACACGGTAACATAATTACAGCAATTTTTTTGAGTTAAATACACAAATTTTGGTATAAATTAGTTGTTTAGTCATTTTTCTCTCCTGATAATAGCATGATTTTTTATGTAGTTTGAAAAATAATCAAGTTGTCCTTAATAATTGTACTATCGATATGCCCTGATAAACTCATCCTAATCTACTAAAATCAGTGACTTAAAATCTATTTTCATATTGGTATATTTTAACATTTAATGAGTGCCAGTGGTCCAAATTAAGCATGGAATGTGTTTGCTTAATACTGGTAGAATAATCTAAATAAACAGTAAAGATATAAGAACTAATTAACATTTTCTCTCGTTTCCCTTAAGTACTTATTTTGTTGTGTCAGCATAGTATTTATCTTGGCTTAAGTCCAAAGTCCAAAGAATAAGCCTTAAATCCCGTTCTATAAAATTATATTTTATATTTTTAAACCATGCAGAAACAGTTGACTTTTAATCATTGTTAGAAACATTGGAATCATAAATAGTACAGAAACAATTTGCATTTTTGGTAACAAACTTAAATATAAATCTTTGTATACCTACATAAATTTACATGAGAAAAGCTTTACAAATTGGATTTTATTTTTCAGATAAATGATGAACTCCGAAGAAATAGATCAGTTCTTCACTGTGTGTATGTAATGGTAAGGAAAAGTTACTACTACCAAATTTGCTAAACCCGAAAGATTCAAATCTTTACACATATTTTGGTGGCAGCCACAGAACTATTTTCGCTCTTATATGCTGTAAACAATTATCCTCCTACCACTATATACAACTTCATTCACATTTAGAATTTCAAAACCTTTTCCCCATCATCTCAGTTGAAGAGCTAGTGGCAGTGCACTCCTCAGGTTGACCTACAACTATTTTCGCTCTTATATGCTAAAACAATTATCCTCCTACCACTATATACAACTTCATTCACATTTAGAATTTCAAAACCTTTTCCCCATCATCTCAGTTGAAGAGCTAGTGGCAGTGCACTCCTCAGGTTGACCTACAACTATTTTCGCTCTTATATGCTAAAACAATTATCCTCCTACCACTATATACAACGTCGTTCACATTTAAAATTTTAAACCCTTTTCCCCATCATCTCAGTTGAAGAGCTAGTGGCGTTGCACTCCTCAGGTCGACCTACAACTATTTTTCTCCCTCTCACAAACAGTTCGTGATTAATCACTTACTCTCTCCATCTCACTCTCTCCAACAATCTCTCACTCTTTCTCTCTTGTTTGCCTTTTCCATCTGTTCTTTCACACGGTGTATAAGGTAAGGTACTATTCCGATTAATCAGATTAAATTTGATAAAACATTGTATAGCATAATTTGATACATTGTTTACATAGTTTTGAAGTATCGTCGTGATACGTGTTTTTGTTAGTCTTGCTCATCAGGGTACATAGTAAAAACATTTTCATCACTCTGTATTCGAAAATAGCCTATTTCCATACAGCTGAGATCTTCAAAAATCGTCGATTTCCATACACCAAAAACACATAGTGATCAGCTGACTTTTCCTGACACAAACAATACTTTGCCTGACATCAACAAAGTTATAACTGAAGTTCCCTTTGTATCTTAAATGTTTAAAAAATATTTTTACAATACAGTTTTTAAAAACATATAAACAAACTATTGTGTTTTATGGAATGAATTGTAGGACGCAAAGTAGGAGATTATAAATCTGAATGACAATAAATGTTATCGTGCAACACCCTATTCAGTGTAATCAGTTGAGAGACTATTAAAATGTAAATTAATACTTAACTATCATGTAATTTAAAATTACACAATTTTTGCTACTTACTATAGGTACTATTCGGCCGTTTAACAAATTGTGTATAATATACAAAACAATTATCAAACTACGATGTAATCAATTTAGCTGCCTAGAGTTATAATACCACTAATATAACTACTATTTTTGTAGTACATTTCTCTACATCAAACATTTACATGTGGTGCACTATTAAGGGCCAAAGAAACTCTTTGGAATCACCTAAATAGAAGTTTAGGATATATTACTTTTACATAATATATAATGTTTTTCTCTTTGATAAATGTGAACAACTACATTTTCTTATTTGGAAAACTGGTTTTTGAGATATTTTGAAAGATATACACAATTTGTTGCTACACCACCACATATGTTCATGCCTACAAAGGACGCTAAGCCGGGATTAATAATAAACGTGTGGCCCGCCTATGTAATATGTCCAGCGTTCAGGTAGTCGCTCTCTCACTTGCTTGTTTTAATTTGCCACATAATTTCGTTACTAAAGTTTAAAAATAATTTAACAACTAATTTGTGTAAATTATTATTCTTGTATATTTCATGTAAAACATTCGTTTGCGTTTGACAAAGGAATCGTTTTAGTTACTTTTTAAATTTAGCATTGTATCTCTTCATTTACATTTTTTAACATTGACTTTGTAAAGTAACTTGTTAAATTAAAAAAAATAATTTATAACAGTTTGTTTACCTTATATAGCTACATAAACTACCTAGTAGTTATTTATACATTATGATAGATTTATGATAAATTCGACTTAAATACCAACGCAGATACATGGGGTTACTGTTTTAGATTAAGCTATAGCAAATCAAACATTAATATTTTTTTAATATTTTTCTTTAGCTCACTTAATTTCTTTTTACGAAATAACTCCTATGACAAGATAACAATATTTATCTCTTGAAAAAAAAAACTACCTATCTGTGTTTACACTGTATAAATAACGTCATTAATCTCACATTCTGTCTGGAAAAGGTGTTTTGTATGTTTTTAAATACATGTCATACCGTATTTTTCTTTCGAGGGCTTGAGGTAAAATTCTACCTAATAATTTAATTGATTATTAATTTAAACTGTAGCGGCTGACTATCAATGTATAAAGTAGGTATACTATGATACTTAGTAATAATATGAATATTTTGCCCATCTAGAGTTAATACCGCATTTACTTGTGTTATAAGAAATGGACGAAATTCGTGTTTTATGGTAGTTCTCTCAATGTCATCTACCTATTCATAAAACATTTATCAGTTTTTATTTACCGCTTGAAACTATATGAATGTACTGTACCTTTCTGCATACAAAGTTTATTAATAATTCTTGAGTTCAAGACTGCAAATGGGTGCTATAAAATAGTCACTAGAATTAACACGGTACATGTTGTCCTCTTGATTGGGCCTATATAGTATCAGGAATGCTTAATCGAATTCGAATGTCTTTCACCTTAATGCAGCCCATATAAAACATTTACCAACTTAAGTATTTTAATATTTACGTAAAAGTTAATTTAAATACAGCGTGCAGGCCTATTGCACATTTAAAGTTAAAAAAATTAGTACCTTAAATAAATATTAACAGTTTGACAAAACGGGATCCAAGCAAAAGTTTGAAAAGTTCCCGAATGCGTTATTTAAGCAAAGTTAAAACGGAAAAACGAATAAATGTTTGAGGCAAAGCATGTTCATGTCCACAAAAGTACAAAAAATAAAAATACGATATTAAACAAAAATATCAGTCTTTTTATTATCTTCGCACACCTAAAAGTACAGTATTGTAATTGACAAGGTCAAACTTAAGCTAGAGATATATTCAAATGGTTCAAACGTAATACATAGTTTTTTGATTTCTATGTGTTCTATGTGTTTTTGTACGCAAAGGCTTGTGTAGCTTATTTTACATTGATGAAAGATCGAGTTTGCACAATAAGTAATTGTTATACAATAAATTTTAATCTGAATCGATGTTATCAATTTCATTTTTTATGATTGATTTTGAAACATTTTTTTATTAATCCATAACGTTGAAACATAAACATTTTCATCGCACATTGCGGCTTTCTAATCGTCGAGAAACGAAAATGACTCATTAGGGTTAATATGCATATATCTAGGCCTGTATACTTAATGCCATAAAGGGGTTTTCTGTAACGACTCCTATTTAACCGTTCTACTTAACCAATTTTTACGATTAAGGTGTAATTTCACCTCCTTTCTATCGAAGGAAGTAATTAAAGATATTTTCATCATCCCCAGAAGTTAGTTTTTGACTTAACTATACACTTAATATTACCTTTTGGATTATTTTCTTACGTGCTACTATTGTCATTTATTTCGTGCGTGTTAAGGCATTGTTGTTTTTGTTTTGATGCAATCCATCCCTAGTTTTGGTAAAAGATGCAGAAGAAAGTAATAAGGTAAAATGTCAATTTCCTTTCGATTTTTGTTCCCATCTAATAATTTTGATTAATTATATGTAATCGAAAGGTCCAGGTGCAAAATGCTTTTTACCTGTTTCAAATGTAAATTTTCATTTAGCAACTGAATTAGCATAATCATTTAGCATATTCAATTTAACTTCCAACCTCAGTTGAATTATAAACAAGGGACAAAACCATTTTAAGAAAATGATAGTTGTAGTTAATTGAGGTGGCAAGTAATGGAACTTTTAAACGTCAGATTACTTACCTATCATTTGTTGCTTAAATTTCACTATCAAACAACAAGAAGAGACTATGAATAACTACTAAACGCCTTACGCTAAATATTAATTAATTTTATCAATTACTTAGCACTAAGAACAATCTGTAAAAATTGTAAAACTTTCAAAACTAAAAAAAGTTTAAAAATAAACAATATTTTCTTACAAAAAATGTGACTTGTAGCTTGGTAGCAAGTTAGTTCCATGGTCCACACTAGACACCAACACACGCGTCGACGTACACACGCACACACTTACAAACGCGCGGTCGGAACTACTGCGCTCGCCACACAGTACTGAACTACAACTGGCGACATCAGCGCTACACAGCCGCGTGGCCAACTCTTGAACCAACTCAATCGATGCCTCATATCGGCCGAATAAAACTAGGTCTCTGTTTATACCCTGTGTGTTACGACCATCAATGTTACATTCGTTGTAAGGATAGGTTTAAAAAAAATATATATATATATACAAAATATAAAAAATATTATAAAACAAAATCATAAAAATATTTCAAATGTAACAAGTAAATTTTACTTAAAGTATTTCATAGTTTAAATAATCTCTCGTGGCCTCTTTAAAGAAAATTAACTATTTTACTTATACAAAAATGCATCACAATGCTGATGTAAAAATGTAAATGCCATTAAAGTTATTTGACAAGGTACAAACTCTTTGACTTTCCCCTATTTTTTCTTATATATTTTTTACACTGTTTTGTAAGTTACTGTATAATCTGTTTATAAATAACCTGGAAACTATAAACTTAGTATAGTTTAATTCTGATCAATAAATTAAAATTGTTTCCCCTTTTATAACGCGTCATATTAAGGCGATAATATGGACAATATTAGTTACATCCAGGACTTTGAACTGCTATGTAGCGAAAGTGAGCAAAACCCACGCAAAAAATTTACACAATGGTATAATATAAATTTGGTGAATTTCTCCTTTCAAATTTTTCATAAAACTATTGTTTTTTTTTTATTTTATATTATTCTATTTTGTAATTAAAAATTACTAGAATGAATCAAAATCTTTCACTTAGACAATAACAACGTAGCATTTCATTCCGAAAAAAATACGATGCAGTTCCCTTCTTTGGAATTTTAAAAGCAAAAATAATCGTAGGTTATTTATATATTTAATTAAAAAAAATATATATTTCACTTCTGAAATACATGGAAGGACAAGTAGTACAATAGGCTACTTCTTATATCATACTTAATATTGAACCGGTATAAACTGTCTCATTATAATTTTAGATATTCCCTCCTTATGAATAAATTTAACGAATTTAAATGTTAAAAAATCAAATTACCAATTTAAGTATCGTAGAAAAAGATGGATTGAGTTTGGCGAGGAAAAATCTTTTTAAAAATACAAAATTTCTATACACAAATTAAATTCATGATGTGTAGCTTTAATGACCAGTTACTCAAAATAATATAAAGAAACCAATAAAGCTAAGAACACTGTAGCAATAAAGGAAAACAATACAACTTTCACTGAACAACCAAACCTAGTTTGGATGTATTTCCCTTATCCAATATTGCCTCGAAAGCTTAAAGCTTTGAAATATGAATGATAGAATAGAGGTTGAATATTGGAAGCCCTCTAACCTCGACCCACGATCGATGTACAGTATACTAAACCACTACCAACACAAACACACATAATATCCCACGTGGTAATTACTTTGGTAACTGTCAGCTGGCCATGATACCAACATTATTTACCGAAATGTCCCTCTTTTTATATAATTACTGCAGCCATTAAAGCTAATGTCGCGTACACGACAGTGGCCAACACGCATACATAATTTGTCCGTTGAAATTATCCTATTGTTTCATGTTTATAAGAGCTGTATTACAAAACGTTACAATTTGGAGGTGCTTTTCTTAGTTGATATGGCTTCGAAATTTTTGTCCTAAGAATTTTATTGTTTAGATATATTTATAACAGGTGGTTGAAACTCAACGCCTTTGTCCTGGGGTCCCAGGTTCTAAACCAAGCCATTAACGACTGTTAGAACTGAGACTTGGTAATTCATAGCACACATTGAACTAAAAGTCCACTCATCAATATCAAAATAGGTATCTTAGAAAGGATAATTAATTGCCTCTGACTCGGAAAACTCGACCTCGGTTATGTTTTAAATGAAATATATCATTTTCAGACTCCCATGAATTTATTTTACCCTTTAATTACATGTTATTGCAAACCTCGATAAGAAGTCAACCTTGATAACAAGTCTTATTTGATAATCCCCTTGAGAGTCTTGTTGTCAAGGTTCTACTGTATTTCACACACATAACAAACATAAGAGTCATATTTCTTCTTTCTCGATGTTTTGTGGTTCAAACAGTAATTATTGTATACATCTGTGTATTGAAAAATGTTCTAAACTTAACACAATAACGTTTGGATCTGAATGGGTGGACCCTTAGGCGTACGTAAAACGCAGAACCTTTAGGATAACAAGGGTAACAGGTTATAGCCATATAAATAGGTAATTAATAAGCTAATTCTTATAAGGGGTTCGTACTTATACGTAGACCAATTAGAAAACTGGACAACAAACGTCGGGGTTAAAGTTGGAGACACAGTTACAAAAATTAATTACTTTGTCAAATATTTAAGAGGCAAAAAAGGTAGGGTAATCAAACTTGCTTGGATATACAGTTAAATTAATTTATCATCTTGCATCTTGAAATTGTTAATGTGTCATGGTATTTAATTCCTTTTAATATTCAGACAAAAATATCAAAATATATTTAAAATATTAAAAATATTAAATTATAAGAGCGAAAATAATGAGTGAGGCAAATTAAAATGTGTCGGAAAAGGGTGCGATAGAGCCCACCTGGACGTTTTACATTCGTGAACCATCTGTTTAATATTAATCTCAGCTTAACGTTCTTTGTCATAGATTAAGCATAATGTGAGATTCTGAAGTGAGAAATATAATTCATAATTTAAATAATTCCCTACCAACAATCTAAAACAATCCACCTTTTAAGTTTGACACTTAATGACGAGAAACTGTGTATGATATTATCACAAAAGTAATGACTGTGAATTAAGTTAGATCGATTTAGTATTAAATAGGTAGCTAAACTAGTACTCGATTTGGCAATAATTGGGTTGCAGACTCGATCCTGAGAAATTTTAAAATCGTTTTAAGGATTTGAAGCCCAGCTGTCCTTGATCAATTGTGCTTTTAGAAAAAATAAATTACCCTTGATAAAGAACTAGCTTACGTCTCGGTCACAAATAAATATCTCAGTGTATATTTCTATCCGTAATACCTTTAGCCATGTGATGATTTTGTGATCCGGTGTTTTGGAGGTATAAACATAAACTCCGTCTGTAGTAAGTCTCTCACGTGATGGGAACTTATTCTGTGGGGATCTTCCTCCCCAAAAGCAATACAGTGATTGCAAAACATATTTATAAACAATTTGTTATACTCTTATCTACGAGAAGAAAGTTATTTCAGTGACGACATGTTTATGCAATGAACTTAAGTAAAGAGTGTGACTGGTCTTAATCGATACAAAAATTACCTATTTTTTTATATTTTTAATTGCTACCCTGCCATTCATTAAGGTATAGTTAAAATAGTATTCGATAGTGTTTAGTGATATGTGTTTAGTGTATATGTGTAAACAATGAAAAAAACTTAGTTCTTCAAACTGTCCCTACACCACCTTAATATTGTTAACCTATAATGCATCCGTATTAATTTCTAATGACTTAAGATAGATTATGGAATAGCAAAGTATACTTAAAATGTAGATAGGCTTCTTCTCTGTGCTAGGAGTCATTAACTTTCACATTAATCTTTCTGGGTATCACTACAACTGTTACCAACATTATGAGACGAAATATGCCTGTTTTACCCTATAGAACAGCCGGGAAGGAATGGTGATACTGATAGTCAGGATACGATTGCCCTGTAGACCCACAAAGGGTCAGTAATACCTACAAAGATTCATCTAGATTTCACAACAAGCGTTGCCAACATTATAGGACGAAATACCCCTCTTGCTAATCTACAGAATATACGGAATGGGAAAGGTTGATAACAATGCTACATTTCCCCCGTAGATAGGCCAACAAAAGGTCAATAATACTACTGTCAGTGGTTATGCCGACATGAGTCCATCCGGATTTCAGCTTAACTGTTACAGTACCAACATTGTGGGTAAAATACCCCTAGCTACATGTGTGATGTAGCACATAGAGGTAAAAAACTCATTCATGACTTTCCCTAATTCAGAAATTTAAGAGTAAGATTATTTTTAATAGCTACCCTAAGTTTGGAATGAAATCGTTTTATGGATATGGATTTCTAAATTCCCACTTCCATATGTTTATGTAGATAATAAAATAAATTACTTTCAGTTAAATCATTGACGAGGAAGCATTATTTATATAAGATTTTATCATTTATTAAATCATCTTAATTTTATATACATTCCATAATTAAACATTTTTACTGCAAGTTTCGATTTACTAAAAATTTATGTTATTTAAGCCAAGAAAACAACAATACCAAATTCAGAACAAATAAGGTAATGTTTAATAAGGTGATGTGATTGAGTATAAAATATAAAACCTTAGAATTGTTTACAGAATATCAGAGTAATCAACGTCCTATTTGTGAGGACCTATAATTGCGTTACTAATAAACAATGTTAGTAACAAATTAACTATGTAATAACAATTAAAAATTTAAATTCGAAAGTTCAATAATATTAGCATGCGATAATAATGATACATTATAACGAACAGTAATAGATGTTAAACACAAATGATGTTTTGTACGAGTGAAACAAACCGTAGCTCCACATTGATATCAATTGTACAAACTCAGGAAACGGAATGAATCACAGTTAGAGGCAACCATTGTGGATCAATTGTGACGTGCACACACACACACACACTCACACATACACGCATCATTTCTATTAATGCCACAACTGAGCCCACTGATCCCTATTATTACTCTGCCAACCCCCGGAGTTCAAAGTAGGTACGTCACTCAAATAGTTAAACGTGTTGTACTGTACTGTAAAAATTAATAAATGTAAAATATAGAAATGTTTTTAAAAACGTTTTTGAAACATCATAACATGTTACTCCAATAACGAACCAACCATTATTATTATGCTTAACTGTTTGAAACAAATTTATAAATGGTACAAAGAAGCATATTTTCTTAAGTATTTTATTTATATTTATCGATAGAAGATTAAACAAGTATTTTTA